TCTAATTAACAATTTTTGTTTTTTAAGATAATATATTTTTTAATTATAAATTAATATGCAAAAAAATATTATAATCACTTAATGTTATTAAAGGTAAAAAAACAAAACTGAAATTTATTAGATAATTATTAATTAAAAAATGTGACCACAAATTAAAAAATTAAAATGGATAAATTTGTCAACAAAATTAAAAAATTCTATTCCGCTAGCGGTTTGGTACAAAAAGCTATATAAATTAGCTTTTTCAATCCACTAGCGATTTGGACCCTAACCGCTATCCGCTAGTTTCAAACCGCTAAATAAAAATTTTACCAAACACTTTAGTTGTAGCGGTTTCGACATATATAAATTTACCAAACACCTATATTTAACGGTTTAGGTAAAACTGCTAACCGCTACCCCAAAACCGCCATACCAAACGGGGCCTTAATCTAATATGGATCATCAGCAATCATTCTTTTAAATCTAAAAGTAAAATAGTGGTGTTATATTTAGTAATATATCTCATACTTATAAATTTGAACCAACTAATAATTATGTAAAACATACTCTCTTTTTTTTGTTGATTTAATAATATATCTCAAACTATGAATTTGAAAATAACTAGCTGATGATTATGTAAGACTTATATAATGGTAAGTGAATTCCAACTTTATGAATAATGACATAGAGGACGGCTCTTGGGAGACAAAATTGGATGGCGACTTACCTGACTTACCATGTATGCAGACACCCAACACACTTGCCACATAGACAATTAGACATACACATGTGTAAACTAAAGAAATCACAGCCACAATAAATCAAATAGTAAACAAAAAATTGGCCAACTAAAAAGAGGGAAATTGAAAGCTAAGCAAATTAAAATGAAGTCAAAGAGAAAATCAAAGAGTAAACCATCGAAACCATCGAACCAAATAAAGATGATCACTGAAATTTGTCCTGGTAGAAGAAAATTGAAGTCTCATGTTCATCTTCCTCCTTTTCGATTTGGTTGGCTCTCCTTTTCCACATCTTCGATTCGGATGGTTAGGGTTGGGGCTCATGATGACGACGGAAGAGAAATCGATATTGATAAATCAAATAAGTTTGGTTTCGATGGAACTTACCAAATTGATGTCATAAAAAACAACTTTGGCATAGAGCAAAGATGCAAGGCGACGCAAGAATAGGAAGTGAAGTTTGCAACTGGGTTTCAATGAGATTTAGAATTTGGGATTAAGGAAAACTCTTTTTACAAATTGTCCCTTCCAAAAATAAATTTACATGTGTGTATGTTTATGTGGCAAGTGAATTGGGTGTCTACATACGTGGCAAGCCAAATAAGTCACCGTCCAATTTCGTCTCTCAAGAATCGCCTTTCGTATCATTATTCTAACTTTACATATGATTGTGATTTTGTTTGATAATACTTTGCATAGATCTTTTTAGATTGTATTTTATATAAAAAAATATAAAATTATTATTTTTAATATATTTTTAATATATTTTTATTAATTTTAATTAAAATTTATATATTTTTAAAATAATAAAAAATGAAAATATTTACAACTACCATTCCGACACACGTAATATTCCCAAATGAAGCCTATATAAAGGAAGGATTTAATGAAGTTAGAAAAATAGGAAGAACCCAAAATTAGTTTGACACGTACGATCAAATCATAATCCATTAATTTTTGTGTCAAATCATAATTACCTAATCACGTAGCTGTTGTTGGACATTGGCTAACGCAAAGGCAATCGGTGCACCTATTAATTACTGACCTTCAGGGTCTGCCCGGGTGCTTTTTCAATGGTATTAATGATTAACTAGGGTATATCTACATGACAATTCAATTTGGAATCACGTCAAATATAAGACAATTAGAGCTTATAAATCTATGCTCTAATTGAGGTACCCAAAAAAATTGAGGTTCAAAAAAAAGTTTATTATGGATTTATTCAACTTATGTTTAATTCTTTGTTAGTGGGGAAAGTCTTCTTTTTTTTTTTTTTGAACAGTGTTGTCATGGGACGGGTTCAAAACCCGCCCAGGGGAGGAGGATGTGCACTTTTCAATGGTTCTAGTCACTGGGTCACACGGGCCAAGTGCAGTGGGAAAAGTCTTTGATGATAAGCAAAGAGAAATAATATATTTATAAGATAAGAGTTCCATTTCTATATAATATTTACATATTATATTTATATAAATTTTTAATTATTTTTTTTTATTTTTAATAGTTAAAATTTATTATGATTTTTTTAAATATAAAATTTTATTTTTAATAAATATAAATAAAATTTAACCATTAAAAATGAAAAGATAAATAATTAAAATTTTATATAAATGTAATGTATGAAACTTATGTATATAAATGTTATGCTCATATAAGATTTTACAATTATAATATGATATAAAATAAGTAAATATATAATATTATATATGATATTTTTTAAATAAAAAATAATTATATAATAATATATTATAATTATAAACTTGCAGTATACTTATGAGCATAACATTTTTTAAAAGGAAAACCCTATTCTGCCTGTGATAATCTACTATTGAGGAATTAAAAGTAAAAGTGCCAAGTAGCCCTCATATGCTAAGGAATACAACATTGAAGTTATGAGTTTGAATTTTACCTTACTTTACCTTTTTGCGTTTTGTAGAGTTTCCTAGTTTATTATTATCAAAGTTATCAGTATCGTACCGACATGCATATTAATTTTGCTATTGAAACAGTATATACAAGATATCAAAATTTTTCATGTATTGTTTCGAATTTATTACTATAAATATATATTTTTATAAATTAAATATCAAATTTTAAAATAAAATAAGAAATAATAATGTTTAAAACCATCATATTCTTATAAATTGAAAATAAGTTTAAAATAATCCTTTTTAGTCCCTCAACTTATAATATATGCATATTTTTTGTCCATCAACTTTAAGTTAATGGACTAAAAATGTGTATATTTAAACAAACTTAACGGGATAATTGATAGAAAAATTAAAAAAAAATACATTTTTCATAGTTAATAGACTAAAAAAATATATAAAAAAGTTAAAGAATGAAAATTATGTAAAACATTAAAGTTGAGGACCAAAAATAAAATTTATCCTTTTTAAATTTGAATGGGATTCTATCCGTCAATTTTCATGTATTGGCTGGTACACTAAAATATTGGTCAATACATTAAAATTTGATCGAAATGGACAAAATTAGACCAAAACGAAATTAGACCGTACACCATTTTGATTTAAAGTAAAAATCAATACTACTAGCCTTATTGGTTGGTACGGTACGGTATTAATATTATTGATTATTATTATAGTTATATAATTTAGGTGATATAACAAAATTTTGATTAAGTTAATATTTTTTAATCTTAAAATATTAATTTAAAGTTAAAATTAAGGATTTAAACTTTTATAATACTAAGTAATTAATTAACTTCTTTGACATGTTAAAAAATATTTAGATAATTAATTTGTATACTATTTTTTTATACAAAAAATGGTTTTTTTTTGGTAAAATGACACATAAAATGTATACTATAGATAACTTTTCATCTTTTCTCAAATCTCCTTCCCACTAATGCTAGTGTTTGTATGCGAAATTTTAACTTATAGTTTTTATTTTTATTAATTGAGGCACTTCTTAAGGACTCTTTGTATATTATTTGAACTCCCTAAAAAAATATTAAAAATAAGTCAAGGTAAACCTCATATATATATATA